TGCATCTCCCTCTTACCTTCAGCGCTTTGCTTTTTACTTTTCTTCTTCTTCTTCTTTCTTTGGTTCAGCACCGTTGCAGCTTCAGCAGTCTGCTGCAGCTTGCCCATGAAGGCCTCGATTTCGTCGAAACAGTGATTAAGGATCCCCTGAGGAAAGAAGAATTGCCTTCGTTACGTGAAAAGCAGCCAAAAGTGGCGACAAAAGACACAAAAGAGATGAGCTGGCTTACCACTTCTCTCTCTGCTCGCAGGAAAGAGATATCAGGTCCGCCATTTGCTGTCGTGAAATAGAGCAAGGGACTCAGTTTATCCATGTTCCTTTATCTCTGCACTTCCCAAAGCTGCCCTCTCACAAACACAAGCTGACAAAGCCATCTCTGTGCTCCGGAGAGACGTTTGCCTCGAATACCTGTCGCTTCTCTCCTTTCCTCCTGCTCACTTTCCCAACCCTTCTGAATAATTCTGAAGCACTACTGAACAGGCATGCATGTGGAAAAAGAAGTCTTCTATGTTTTTTCTTACCTCTGGGTCCAGGGTAAGGTGGAGGGTTGACAGGTGGGGGATTAGGAGCATGCAGCATGGGAGGACTTGGTATGTTATAGGGGTCGAACATATCTCCTCCACTCTGAAGCCTGCGGGGCGAGAGGAGAGATTCAGTGCTTCTGCCACAACACGGCACTACGGGTTAAAAAGTGATAACAATGTTTTTGTTGATGATGGTGCAGGTGTACACTCAGCGCCAGCAAATTAGACGCCCTTCAGCAAGGGCTCAAGAAGTCATATTAACAAGCTCACATTCAATGCCGTAACAGCAGCATCCTCTTGGTAAGAGCTCCAAACAGCTCTATGAGCGCAGTGCACTCCTCAATCAACGCGGCGCCTCTAAGATTGAACCCTTTCTCTTATAAAGAAGACATCCGATGACCTCCCCTGCACTCTTAACGATGGGTTTTGACACCTCAGTATATATCAATAAAGATGTGGTTTTACAACCAGTACAACAGTTTCCAGGTTTTTCCAAGGGTAGCTGCGTAAACAGGGACCACTCTCACTAACTTCTAATGCAAACCCAGTCATTTTTGTCCAATAAGCTGGTCTGAAATATGCTTAGTTCAAAAAGGAGCTTTAAAGGTTACTCCCGGTAGGCGTAAGGGGTAAAGAGTTAATCCTCCAGCCCTTATCCAACCATGAAGAAAGAGTAAACTAATTTCCTAATTTTGCATACTTGTTTCCACGCTAAACACAAACACTTTACATTAGCAAGCAATAAAAACAGTGAGTCCGCCTTGACTTTTTTATCCAAAAAAATACAAGTAACCTAACAGTGATGACTTCACTTTTTTAGAAATTTTAATTAAATTCTGATGTAAATACAAAAGGCTCCTGCTGTGTCTCTTACCACATGTCTCTGCCCTTCACGTGTCCTTTAAAGAGAAATGTTCTCAAAGCCAGACTAT